TGAATAACTTCTTAATCTCAAAGCACTGGAGGAAAAATAATAAAACAACAAAATGACCAAGCCTCAAAAGACAAGAAATAGGGCATAAAATAAGATCTACTGCACAAGCCGGGGGGTGGCAAAGGCGGTGGACTCTCCAGAGCTAAAAGCATGCTCACATCCACTGTGGTAAAGTAATTGGATGCGCACAAGTTTGACTTTGGTGCAGTTAACAGTGTACACTGACAGCACTTTCTGTGAATTAAAAACACGACGGTTTGTCTTCATCTACGCCCTTCATCAGATACAGCATCGTTCGACTTCTGGCTCTTCCCCAAAGTCAAAATGATCATGAAAGGGAAACGCTTTCAATCAGGTCGGGGCATCAAGGCAGCTGGAACAGCACAACTGAAAACACAAAAGAGGACTTCCGGAACCGCCTCGGAATGATGGGATACGTGGTTCAAAGCAAGGGAGCACTTCAAGGGGGATTCATGGCTACATATCTTTTACTGTAATAATTTTTTAAAAATTTAAACATATACCAATGTTTTGGACATACCTCATATGCACATTACCTTTTTAAAAATGAATGTTAATTTAAAATCTTGTTTAAAAAACACCTGGCTGGGCATTGTGGTGCACAATAATCCCAGCACTTTGGGATGTTGAGGCAGGAGGATCACCATGAACTCAAAGCCAGCCTGGGCTTCATGATGAGTTCAAAACCACCTGAACTACATAGTGAAAGCCTATCTCAAAAAACAACCACACACACACAAAAATGCACCCAACACTTACTGGCTATAGACAAGACAACCCTAGTAGCTAGAAAGACTCTAGGCTTCTCTGACCCAGGCACACGGGACCCAGATGTGCCCATGGTCTAGCTGTGCCAGCGTCCTCCTGATCCTGCTCCGGGGAGAGAGCCCCACTCTCCTGCCTTCAGGGTGAGGGCCACACACCACAGCCCCTTCAGGTCCCACACAGTGAGGGATGGTCCCCCTTAGCAAATCTGCCAAAGCTCCAGCTAAGTGAAACTCAGACTGCTCCTGCCACCTGGTGGCCATGTCTTTTTCCTTGCTCAGCCTCCAGTTGCCTCCAATGCACTGCCAGGACCTCACCTGCTTAGCAAGGGATGGAAGAACCAGAGACATCTATGCTGTCCCTCAGGATGCACAGCTAATCCAGGTGGTGCTTGGGCTAGGACTTTAGTCTCTTGACTTTGATGACATTTTATTTTCGCTCACAGGAGGCCTGCTTGGGCAGATGGGTTCCAAAGAAAAGAAAGAAAAGGGCGAGTGACAGAAGAAAAATAAAAGGGAGGGAGGCAGGGGAGCTGTCAGCTTGTGCCCAGAGTATGAGGAGGACAGTGTGAATTCCAGAAGCACCGACAGCACCAGTCCTGTCTTCCTCTCCTTTCCTTCCGCTCTCCGGCTCCCGCACTCTTGTTAGGAAAGATGGAGGACACAGGAAACAGGTCAGGTCTCCACTTCCACGCCAGGCCTCCTCCCCAAAGCAGCTCCAAACAAGAAGACAGAGAAGATCTGATGCTAAGTCTAGCTCAGAGTTTGGGTTAACAGTCAATACGGACAAGTTTGTTACTGCCTCTGAAACTCAACCAGGACTATGTGTTACCTAGAATGAGCCCAAAACCAGGTATGGTGGTGCACACCTAGAATCCCAGCACTCCGGGAAGCTGAGGCAGGAGGACTGTGTGTTGCAGTCCATCCTGTGCAACTTAGTGACTTAGCAAGACTGTGGCTCAAATAAAAAATTAGAGATTAGGGATATAACTCAGTGCAAAGGCCCTGGATTAAACCCTCAGTAATACACACACACACGCACAAATAAGCCTAAATGCCCAGCCAGACTAGCCTTGCTGGTGGAAAGGATTGGAGGGAAAACTTCAATGATGCATAAATCAAAACATCACATCCAGCAGCCAACAGAAGTGGGAGTAGAAAAGCAGCTCTTGATACCCAGCACACCAAGCACAGTTGCTCTGAGCATGGGGGTTTGTTTCACATCTTGTTAAGGAGACCCTCATCATCCCAGCTACATAAGGGTCTGGAACATCTCAGGGCCTGGGTGTTGGAGGCTTGGTCTCAGCTCATGGTGCCAATGGGAGATGGTGGAACTAAGTGGGGGAAGTTGGACACAAGAACCCCATTCTCTTTCCCCTACCGAGTCTCTTGCACCCTACCATGAGGTGCGCAGCTTTCTCCCACTGTGACATACTGTGCTGCCACAGGCCCAAACAACAGGATCAGTCAACCATGAACTGGCACCTCCCAAACCATGAGCCACAGTCAATCTATCCTTCTTATCCACAAATCACCTTGGTTATCTTGTCACAGCAACAGAAAGCTAAGAAGACAATTCCGCATGCTCTTATTTGACTAACCTTCAGGGATGTTGTGAGTGGTCAGTCTGAGAAACGGCTAGCACTGGAACTGAGTCCAGGACAAAAAGAGGCAAAGCACACAGGAAGAGGAAACAGAAGTGGTGACACACACATAGCACAATATGACTAGGGAATCTGGAGTCAGGGAATAATTGATGAATCCCATAACAGTACATGAGGAAGACCAGAGCTATCTCATCAGCCCTGGAATTTCATCCCACTTAAATTTGTTTTTTAATGTTAATTGTGGTAAAATACACTTAACATAAAATTTGCCATGTTGCCCATTTTGTAGTATGGAGTTCATCACATTAAGTAAACTTCCGCTGCTGGCAAGCAGGCTTCCAAAACTCTTTGTATCTTGCAAACCGAAGCTCTGCTTCCATAAAACACTGACTTGCTCTCCATCTCCCCAGCTCCTGGTCCACAGCGTCCTACTTCCTGTCTGTGAGTTGGACAACTCCAGGGACTTCACACAGGTTAAATCCTACAGTATATGTCTTTTATGAGTGTTTAACTTCTCTTCACATTATGTTTTCAGGGTTCATCTGTATTATATCAGGTGTCAGAATTTCTGCCTTATTTAAAACCAAATAATATTCCAAATTATAAAGATCAGCTGGGTTGAGCATTTTTTAGGAATATGGACCCCACTGAGGTTCATCAAGATGTGAATCGGGGGACACTAACAAGGCAGTGAGGGTTTTCTGGGGTCCTCAGTCACAAGCTTTACAATCTCGTAAGCTCTGGCCTCCGCCACCTCCTCTGTGACTAAGCCCTACACAGTGCAGCTCCCATGAGTCCTGGCTTCTGCCACTATGGAGGCCAAAAGCACAGCAAACAGGGACAGCAAAGCCAGCACAAAGGCCTTACTTCTGAGCCTTCCCTCGACACTCAAGTCCTTCTGTTTCTTCCCCTCAGCCTTTTCTCTGTGAGCAAGAGTGTCTGGGTCCTTATCTCCTTCTAATCGGGCTAGGAAGTGCTGGATGTTTCTGACAAGCTCTTGGGGCCGCTGCAAGGATCAAGTGAGATTACCAACAAGCAAGCACTCGAGTTTGAAGTGCTACATCAATGTACAGGATTATTAATAATCTCCCATTGATCTCTTAATACAGAAAAAATAGAAGCCTCCTCCCTCGGGCTTTCCATGGCAAAGAGATGGCTGGGACGTTCACCTCCTCTGCTGTCTCCTTCTCTCTGCTTGGCCGGGAGCTCTGGCCCCTGTAATTCCATCACCCTTGTGGTTCGTCAGCAATGCCTCTTTACTGTCAATAGGAAGTTGCAAGTCCTTCTTGAGTCAGATGCATAGAGTGGTTCTGCTTGGCTCACAGGACATTTTAAAGCCACTTTTATCTTGTAGAAAGCATACAGAAATGGGACGGGGTTACTTTCAAACTTCCAGAGTTCTGACATTTTCGGAAACATTAGAAGACCCGGAGACCTGGCCATGTAGGACTTGCTTTCCTATCTGTGACAGGGTCCTTTCCCCATGACCTGCTTGAACTGGAGATTTGAACTGTGACCCTGGGACACACAAGAGAGAAGTTCTGGATGTGTCTAGTGGAATCACATCAAGCTATCACACTCTATGTTTCTAAACTCACTGAACAGCACTGGGGAGTTCAGTCTGAGTGGAGGGGGTTACATCTGTAAAAACATTGCCCCACACACGTGGTCCCCACTTTCTGGTGAGTTAAATCCTTGTAAATGCCCAGAAGAACAATCTGCGGCCAGCCCCTAGTGGCCACAGCACTGCCTCGCCTATGTGTCTGTCTGTTCTCTTAATGCAGTGTCACGACGGTCTGCTCATGCAGTGTGTGGCTCCCCTATCAGACAAGAGGGGTCGTGGGCAGAAGGTAGCAAGGTATAATGGGAACCAGGCTCTTCCTCATCCACCTGGGGTGGAGATCGGGACTCAACTATTTGGAGATCGAATTTAATTAAAGTGGGATTGTACTGGCCTTAAGCATATGCATCTCATGGCTTTGTGCAAATCTTTCATCTCTATGCTATAAGCAAACCACAGGTCCCCAGGCTGGTGTCCCTGCAATTCCCAATGTCCCCATGGGCCATCAGGGTCTTTGAGGGCCTATAAATCTTAGAAGAAAGGCAAAACCCATGGGTGCTGAGCTAGTACTGGACTCAGGATTTCTTATTAAACTGTGTCCAACAAGGCAGATGCTTCCTGCTAGGAGAAAAAAAAAAAAAGCCAGATATTCTCCTGTCTCAGCCTCCCAGAGTGCTTGGATTACAGCGTTAATGAGATCCTGTCTCAAAATAAAAAGGTCTTGGGGGTACAGCTCAGTGTGAAGATCCTGGGTTCTTCATACTGCAGTGGTGGGGGAGGGTGTTCCGTGTCTATAGCAGGCCTGAGAGACCAGGGCAGAAGGGACTGAGTAACAAAAACACTTTCAAAAGGCAACCTAGCCCTGTCTAGCATAGAGCCTAACCAGACCCTTCCAGGACCTGAGCCAGATTCCCAAAGAAAGGAGCTTCCACAGAAAACAAGGAAAGTGATCAACCCTTTTTTAAAAGCTGTACCTCCTGGGATATTTAAAAGCTGATTAAAAGGATAAAGACAGAAGAAAGAACAGAGGTCTAGAAATGGACTCACATGTATCAGCTGGTACTTTCATTGTGCTGTGGTGTTGGGGATCAAACCCGGGGCCTTCCACATGCCAGACAAGTTTTTCTCCAGCCCATCATCAATTTATTTATGACAAAGGAACCAGGGTGCCAGGGTCTCCCACAAGGAAAGGAACAGTCTCTCCAAGAAACAATGCTGGAACAATGGCATATTCACAAGCAAGCAAGCAAAAAAAAAAAAAAAAAAAAAATCGAATCTTTAACCTTTATCTCACACTGCACACAAAAATTAACTAAAAAAAGATCACAGACTTTAACATAAAGGTTGAATCCTCAAAGCATTAGGAAAAAAACCACTGGACAAAATCTTTGTTACTTGGGTTAAGCATTTTCTAGGGATGACACCAAAAGCATAATGCATAATAGAAAAAAATGATAAATTTTAACTTCATCATAATCAAAATCTTTTGCTCTTCAAAAGCACTATTAAGGGGGCTGGGGATTTAGCTCAGCGGCATAAGCGCCTGCCTTGCTAGCAGGCAGTCGGGGGTTCAATCCCTGGTACCGATAAAAACGAAAAAGACAAAAAAAAAAGCACTATTAATAAAATCAGAAGTGAGGTGGGCATGTTGGCGCATGCTGTAATCCCAGCACTAGGGAAGCTGAGGCAGAAGGAACATTTCAAGTTTGAGACCAGGCGTGGCTACAAAGTGAGTTCAAGGCTAGCCTAAACTGCATAGTGAGACTCTGTCTCAAAAGGAGAAAAAAAAAAAAAAAGAGAGAAGATAAAAGCCATGGACTGAGAGAAAATAGTTGCAAAACATATATCCGCTAGAGAATTTGTGTCCACAATATATAAACAGTTTTTGCAACTCAGTGACAAAACAACCCAATCAAAACCCACGCCTGTAATCCCAGCACTTAGGAGGCTGAAGCAGGAGGATTGCTGTGAGTTCGAGGCCAGTTTAGGCTATAAAATGAGTCCAAGACTAGCCTGAAATGCGTAATGAAACCTTGCCTCAAAAAAAAAAAAAAAAAAAAAAAAGTAAAATATTTGAATAGATACTTCACCAAGAGCTTTATAAATAACTAATAAGCCCATGGAAAGATACTCATTATTATTACTGATTAAGGAAATGCAAATTCAAACCACAGTAAGATACCATTAGACACTCACTAGAAGAGCAAGATCTAAGATACCATCTGCGGGGAGGATAGAGAGAAAGTAAAACTCAAATATTGTTAATGGGAATGCACACTTGAAAAGCAGTTTGGCCGTTCTTTAAATGTTATGCATACAGCATTAGGGTTCTCAAGAGGGACAGAATCAATAGAAGAATATATGCATAATTATGCAAGGAGATTTGTCAGGTAGGCTCACAGGGTCAAAGGCAGAAAAGTCCACAGTGGCCATCTGCGCGCTGAAAGCTGGCAGGTCCAGGAGCAGTCCAAGTTGAATGCCTGGAAGCCCGCTGTAGAGTATGCCTTGGAGGGTGACGAAACTGCAGAGCCATGTCCACAGGTGATGACACAGGTCGGAGCTCTTCCACAGCAGAGACACTTCCTTTTTTACCCTTTCTGTCCAGGCTACCAGCTTATTGGTTGGTGCCACCCACATCCGGGGTGGGTCTTCTTCCCTTGTTTGTTGCTTTTTGTGTCAGTCATCCATAGATCTATCCAAAGCTTTACTAATCAGCTAGGTGCTTCTTACTCAAGTTGATAACAACTACATGTGCACCTGTCATAAAAACAGCAACTCAACGTCCAGGTATCTGTTCACCCAAGAGAAATAAAATACAAACTGAAAACAATGCAAAGGTCCCTCTGATGACGAGCAGATAAACAAAATGTACTATAGCCGCACAGCAGAACATTACTTAGCGATCAGAGGGAATAAACTACCGAGCCATCAAACACCATGGCTGAAATAAAAGCCCCATGCTAAGCTAAAAAGCTCCACACTAACGTATGCATTTTGTACAATGTGACTCATATGAGATGTCTAGAAAGAGAAAAACTTTAGCGAGAGTAAACAGACATTATGCGTCTGCCTTTGAGGTTCGAAATAGGCAGGAGGGAATTGGCTAGGGGTGGTGTGGGAATGGAAGTGGTCTAAGTGGCAAAGGGAGCCGAAAACCATACAAGTTTACTGAAAATCGTTGAACTGTACGCTTAAAATAGTTACATTTTATGGTTCCTAAATTATATTTCAGTAAGTTTTTGACAAAAAAAGTTTTAAATGTTTTTTTATCTGCTATAAGTTACTCAGAAATCCTAGCCCCAAGAATCTACCCTAAATACACTTTAGCAAAATTACAGAATAACCCATGCATTAGTCTATTGTAGCTTTTTTTTTTTTTCCTAAACAGAAGGCTAGAAACAGCCCGAAGTCCATTGGCGGGGGGCCGAGGAATCATCTATGGTGTATCTGGGATGCTGCAACCATGAAAAGGCAGGAAGGGGTTACACTGTGCACCGGTGAATTCCAGAAGACATCACCAAGTAAGAAAAATAAAGCTGGTCTGTTATGTGGGCATCTGTTTGGGGATTTTATTTTGGTACTTTGGTGGTTTGTCTGTCTCAATATCAATACCATTTTGTTATGATTGGTGACTTTGTGATAAGTCGTGGGACTGGGGGGATCGGAGCTCTAATTTTGTTCCTTTATCAAAGTTGCTTAGACTATCCTTTTTTTTTTTTTACAGAAATTTAAGAATCAAAATGTTAATCTATATGAAAAATGATGTTGACAGTTTGATATGGGATTGTGTTTTACGATCTTTATTATTTTCTTCTATTCATTTTTGGTTTCATCCTTTTATTTTTAATAAAATAAAGGTACAGCTAAAAAAAAAAAGAAAAGAAAAAGAAAGGCACAGAGTTTGTTTAGTGAAGGGAAGTTTGAAAAAAAAGGTTTTCACCAGCCATGGGGGCACACACCTGGCTACTCAGGAAGCTGAAACAGGAGAATCTCAAGTCCAAGGCCACCTTGGGCATCTTAGTAAGATTCTGTCTCAAAAGGAAACATTGATAAGGCAAGGGATATAGTTTAGTGATAGAGCACCACTGGGTTCCAGCCTCAGCACAGCAAAGGGTACAGGGTTGGGGTAGAGAGAGAATATTGATGTATTTAAATATGTATTTGCTTATCCTTTCAATACATTAAGTACTAAAGTTCATTCCTTGGTTTTTTTATTTTTGGGGGAGTGTTTTGTTTCGTGTGTGTGTGTGTGCGCGCGTGTGTTAAATGTTGCTCTCCAAAGAATCTTTTCCCAGTACCCCTTCAGTCTGGAACAGCTGTGTGGCAAAGTGGCCAAGACCCTGCCATACACTGTGACCCCAGTGGTTGCCGTAACTACCCTGCGTCTCCAGGTTTGGCCACAGCAGTGCTGAAGCTCAGAGGCAGAAGATGAGTGCAGGGAAAGCCAGATAGGTGGAGTTCATGCAAATCCCCTCAACCTAGCCAGTCTCGAGCTGACATTGGGCAGTCCTTGGCCCTGAGCTGGAATGAGATGGCCGTGATCAGCTCTCCTGAGCAGTGGATGCTGGCAAGGAAGCACCACATCACACATCCAACTGGCAAATCAAAGAGCCTGGCAATACCAGATGTTTGATACAAGCCTGCATTAGAATGGGGTGGAAATGTAAATTGGAACAATCATTTTGGAAAGCAATGGCCTTATCTGGTGCCCGTGCTTTCCAATCCAAAGTCATTTGCAGCTTTCCACTGAGAGATGAGTCAACAGAGCTTGTTGCAAAATTGCTGGTAAAAGAAAAAATAACCTAAAAGCTCATCAGTAGGAAAATGTATAAATAAATTATGTGATAGTCATTTAACAGACTGCTATCCAGAATTTAAAATTAATAAGCTATTATATTTATTGAGAGGGCCAGATATTGAAAAAGAAAATGTTGGATTTTTTAAAGTGGTTTTAAAATGTTGTGCTATGCATACCATAAAAGTTCTGCAAAAATTCTAAATGCACAAAATGATACTCTGCAGTATCACAGAGATATATGCTCACTGAAATGCAAGATGAAATCATTTTAAATAGAGCAGACAAATACTGAATTTATGATAATGCCACATTTAGTGAGGAAAACCTGAGATTGGGGAGAGAGTCAAAGGGTTCTCCATCTTTCTGATAGTATTCCAAGCTCCTTTAAATATTCAAAAATATTTTTCTGAAATATTAATGAGTGAAGTGAGAATCTGAGTGATGCTCACCTGATGCTTTGTGCTTTTGTATGCTTTAGGAACCCCTTCCTAATACTGATATAGTGTCCCTTATGATGAGAGAGGTTTATTTAAAATCTATTTTATTTTAAAGAGAAAAAATAAAACAAACTTCAAAACAACAATTAGGAGATAACAATGGTATATACATTGCATTTACACAATACATATATTGATTCAGCTTCTCACACTACTGAGACAGTATGATATTTACATGTGAGTCTGATTCATTTCACTTATGAGTGTGGTCACAAGGTGCATCCATTTAACCATAAAAATCTCAAGTTTATCCTTCTATATGGCTGAGTAGTACTCCATTGTATAAAAATACTACATCTTTTTTCTCCATTCCTCAGTCAAGGGCATTTAGGTTGCTTCCAATCTAGCTATTACAAACTGTGCTGCTACAAACATGGATACACATATATTGCTGTAGAGTGATTTTTTTAAATTCTTCTAGGAAGATATCTAGGAGGATAATAGCTGGACCAGATGGGACCTCCAATCCTAATTTTTTGAGGAATCTCCACACTGATTTCCACAGTGGTTGCACCAGTCTGCATTCCCACCAACAGTGAGGAAAGATTCTTTCTTCCCCACAACCCCTCCAGCATTTGTTATTGGTTGATTTCTTGATAATGGCCATTTGTTCTGGGGTGAGATGAAATCTCAGTGTTATTTTAATTTGCATTAATGAAAGACTTTAAAAATCTTATTTGTGCTCCAAAGCAAAGCTCACACCCGATGCGGGGGGCAGCCAGTATCTGACTTGTGACACTTGCTTCTCAAGTGATGTGGCCTGAGGAGAAAAGTCAATGTCCAGCTTCAAATCCTGTCCTGGATCTGTCTGGAGATTTCTCAAAAAGTTGGGACTGGAAATCCCATTTATTCCAGCTATTCCACTTCTAGGCATATTCCCAGAAGAACTGAAAGCATCATACCACAGTGATATATGTGCACCTATGTTTATAGCAGCACAATTTGTAATCGCCAGATCTTGGAAACAACCCAAGTGCCCATCAACTGAGGAATGGATAAAAAAGTTGTGGTATTTCTATACAATGGAGTATTATTCAGCTATAAAGAAGGATCACATTGAGATATTTATCAATAAATGGGCGCAGCTTGAGACCATACTCATTAGTGAAATAAATCAATCTCGCATGTGTGAATACCGAATAGTTTCCCTAATGTAAATAATGATTCAAATATATAAAAATATGTGGTAATCATGATTCCCCATTAGGTGGCCTTGAAGCCTTATAAAGTTTTCACTCATTAATTAGAAAGGCTTTATTCTGGGCTTCTTGATATGAAAATATTTGAAGCTAGAGTATATGAAGTTTTACCCAAATATTTCAAGGAAAAAGACACTATGGTAACTACTATTAAGTCAGGTTATAAGGTGGTGAAGTACTAGGTTGTTGAAACAGTCATGCTGTGACCTCTATTGTTATATTGTTATGTCCTGTTTTATCTCAATCTCCCCCTTATTGTTTCAAAAAAAAATTATTTAGTCATTTCTTATGTTTGTCTTAATTAAAGAAAAAATTCAAAAAAATTAGGATATATAAATAGTAACTCTTTTCGATTTCCTATTAACTTGTTTTGAAGTCCTGTAGTACTCCCACGATCTTGTTTTGACTGATTAGACTCTGTTCCATTCTATATGATAGTATCAAGTTTGAAGACATAGGCAACTACTTTGAAGACAATAAGATTCACTAAGATACCCATTCTGGTTTGACTATTGTCTTCTTTGGAAGTCCTGTAATGTTTACAATGCCTAAGTTTTATTGGTCTTGTTCTCTACTGTTTTGTCCAACTTTATAATATCTAATAAGATAGACAATTCTTTTTAAGGAAACAAGGGACAACGTTGATAACCATTGTTGATAAACTTGTACTCTGTTCTACACCATGTGCTATGCCTATCCTTGGTATTGACTGACAGCTTTGTTTTGCCATATTTGACTGTATTCTTCCCCCCCCCAAAGAAAGTAATAAGCACTAAGGAGTAATAAAATCCAAGATGTGTAAATTTTGTTGTAAAAAAGAGAGGGAAAAAAAAAAAAAGGAAAAGAGCTCTAACGGATATAACAGCAAGTGTGTTTGGGGGTGTTAAATAGCTGACTTTATCAATGTTTTTGGAACATTGAACACAGCTGTTTGCAGTCTCCCTGTTTGAATGTCCACCTTGTGTTCTTTGATACTGTGATTTGAGGAACTATTTTCAAGAAAATAGTGTGTAATCTACTAGCAGGTAATTTCTTACTGTTATGTTTTTTTGTTTTGTTTTGTTTCGTTTTGTTTTGTTTTGTAGTTCTGTATTGCGTGTACCCTTATGCCGCTTTGGTTTGTTTTGTGTTTTTCTCT